ATCACACTCCAGTTTGAGACCTTAATCATCCTTTTGTCCAGCATATCCACATTGTATATACTACCTTCTCATTGGTCACTTCACCTTCTAGGTTATTAGATCGACTATTGTGGTATCTCAGTGCTTGTGTTCAAGTAACCATTATTTTACTTCTTAATGGCTTCACAGTGTAAGAGTAGTGATGCTGGCAATTTGAATATGCCAAAGAGAAGCCGTTAAGTGTTTCTTTAAATGAAAAGGTGAACGTTTTCAATTTAAAAGAAAAAACATTATATGCTGAGGTTAAGATCTGTTAAAAACTGATCTTCTACTTGTGAAATTGCCTAATTTATAAATTAAACTTTATCATATGTATATATGTGTAATGAAACACTTAGTACATATAGGTTTCTGTACTATCTGAGGTTTCAGGCATCCATTGGGGGTCTTGAACAGTATCCCTGTGGATAATGATGAGGCGGTGTCTGCTGTGTCACCATTCAGAATTAAACTCTAGGCTTATTATTTGCAATGGCTCTGTGTTGTCTAGGTTAATTCAGAGCCTCCTGTGAGATTAAAACATTTTTAGTAATTGGTTGCATTCTTCTTGAGAATAAGTCATTTTGGAAGCTTTGACCAGTTGTTCCAATTGGTTAGAAAAGGGGTTCTCAAGTGACTGAGGAATGCAGTATGTAGGGCAATATAGAAAGTTATCTAGGTGGGATGAAGGGTTTTCATTTGTTTTGTTTTTTAAAGTAACAGCCAAGAAAACACCTTTGTAAAAATCTCCATGTCCATATAGTCATGTTCTACTTGGCCCTGACTGGATTATTGAATTTTTTTTAACCTAACATATGTGTGTGTTTTAAACATGTCACTATATATATACTGCTTCATTTTTCTGAACTATTAATCCAATATGTTGATGTTAAAATGAGCACTTCATGTTGTCTCCATTTTGTATAATACTGCTACCATATTCTTCAATTAAGTCTCAGTGAATCACCACCCCTCTTTTCTTTTTAGCAACGGCAGTCCCAGGGAGTACTCTTACCATTCCTGGAACAGTGAGGGTTTTAGGTGAACTTCTAGACACTGGAATTTAGTCTGTATTTTGCTTCTGACTTATTTCAGAAACCATGTGCAGTTGCCAAATTCTGTATCATAACCATAGAAGTGGCACTGCCAGGTGGAAATTGGAAATTTAGGCAGTTGTCTAGTTGATTTATGTCTAAAGAAATAATTTTGTCTCAAAAGTTCTGATAAGAGAGGGGTCTTTTTGTTTCTTTGATTTTGCAAGATGATTGTCTTGTCTTTCATCTTAGCCACTTATAATAACTAGCCTTAGTTTCCTTATCTTTTAAATGGGGACTGATAAACCAGTAATACTTAGATAATTCTGTCAGACTTATTTAATTCACTTTTAATAGTCTAAGATCATCATGCGGAAGGTAACTGTAAGTGTGAATTATTGATACTTTTTCATTTTTCCTTACCCTAAGGGACAGTGCCTGAAATAGCTACCTTCCTTACCCCACATGTCAAGACTGAGAAACTTAATATATACTATGATCACAACTTTTGAGATAGAATTGAATTGCTGTCATTGAAAACAGCAGGACATCTTGCAACCGTTTAAATAGCAATTCTTAGTATGATCTTTTTTTTTTTTGTCAAGAGAAATAAAACCGTTTTTAGGTATAATATATTGACTCATTGCTCAGAGTTGTCAAGTTTATCAGTAAATTGCTTTTTGTATTGAATAATTAGATTTGGAATTATAGAGTCTGAAGGGGTTCAAGTTCCATAATAGAATTCTATGTCAAGAAATTATGATATATCAGTTTTTTAAACCAAAAGGGACAATGTAAGCATAAAGCAAGATAAGTTATTTGAAAAATCCCAAAGAAGTTCTTTTATGTTACAAATAGTTTTCTCTGACATTTTAAGCATGCTCTTTTGAATGCCTATTCTTTTGTTTCTCTTAGTTTAAAAACAATTTGTAAAAGTTATTCATGTTTCTGGTAACAAATTAAACATTACAGAGACCTTTTTTTTTTAAATCCTCACCTGAGGATATTTTTTCACTGATTTTTAGATGGAGTGGGGTGGGGGAAAGAGGAGGAGAGAGAGAGAGAGAGAGAGAGAGAGAGAGAGAGAGAGAGAGAGAGAGAGAGAGAAACATCAATTAGAGAGAGACATATCCACTGGCTGTCTCCTGCACGACCCCAACTAGGGTCTTGGGGTTGGGTATGGAACGACAACTGAAGTATGTGCCCTTGATCTGAACTGCTGAGTCAAACCCGCAAGGGCTACAGAGACATTTTCAATGGAAAGCAGCAGTTTTCTCTCCAAACACCTACCCTCTTCCAATTTTATTACCTTGAAACAAACTCTTTTTAGCTTTCTTTGGGTTTAGTCCTTCTGTTGTTTTCTTCAGAACTCCAAATAATATACTTATAGCTATCTGTTGAATTGTTAACATAAATAATATCTTTTGACTCCTTGCTATGAAATTTGAGGATGCAGCTTGTTTACCTACTCTTCCTTCCTTTTCACTCCTCCTAGTTAAAAGATAATCATTATTATTCCTTCAAATTTCAACAGTATTTCTTGGTTCCCTACTTTGTAAAATGGGGATATTAATACCTTTGCTCTTCCTTCCATCTACTCACACCCATTCTCCATCTACTTTGAGCTGGTTTCTATTAGCTACACTTAATTTTACATCTTCAAGGTTAGTAACATTTACATTGTGTAGTGCAATTACAGCCCATGTTCTGTGCTTTATCTATAGTAAAAGACCAATACGTTGTTTGAACATTTACTATAACTAAATATTCAATGCCAGACCAAACAAGATGTTGGGATTAGATTTTATACAAGTCCAATGTCATGATCTCTAGGCTACCCAGTGAGTCATAGCATTTAGGCAAAATATAGCAAATCTCTATTTTTTTAACCTTAACATCTTTTACAGAATTACTTTACATTTTAGTTAGCTTCAGATTTGATATGTGATTTTCTTACAGAGGTGTTTTTCTTCTGGGGTTTCTGGTTCTTTCTTTCTTCCCTTTGGATAATGTGTCTTTATTATATCTTCTTGCACTCAGCAGCCCCCTCTTGGCCATCTCAACCTCTTTAATTCACACCATCCACTTTGTCTTCCAGAAGTACATTGGAATTTCTCATTCGTTGGTGATCACCTCCTCATTTTTGATGATCATTCCTCTTTGCACTTTCTGTACCTTCTCCCACCAGGTGGAGTCCTGAAGGAGTGGGAGGTGAATGTGTGTGTGCCCAGTTTGCTATCTTTAACCTGGACCTACTCCTCTAAAGTGCTTGTTTTATGCTTTTGTGTGAAATCCATAAAGGGTGTTCTCCTGTATCAGATCTTTGAGACTTTCCTTGTTTAATTGTGGGCAATCTGTGCTTTAAATGCATGTAAACACTAGAGCCCATATTAGAATAAAATCACGTTTTAAAAATAAAGGAGATCATGGAATTTTTCCTAGTTAATTTCTTCATTTTATAGGACAGAACACTGAGGCCGAGAGAAAGGGGGGAGGGGAGAGCGCGCACGCACACACAAGAGAGTGCAGTTTGAGCAGTCTTTTACACAAAAACTCTCAATTAATGGCATGGCAGAGTTAAAACAAAAGTGTTTTGGCTTTGAATTTATTGGTCTTGTTATACTTTATAATACCTTTCCAACCTTGAATCATACGGCTAGGGGAGAAGTGAAAATTAAATTGGTAGCATGCCATTCCTTTAGGAAGTTGGTGCTGGTGTTCTTGGAGGAGTCGTATCTATTTGGTAGTTCCATTTGTTGTCTTGAAAAAGATGTAGAATGAAGTTGAGAGTAAATGTTTTTGTTCCCATTTTTGTTTTTTAAGGTACTTCAGTCAGCACCATACATGCACTATCACAGTAATTACCATGCAGCAGGCTCCCAGCAGTAGTGAGTCTCCTATTTAAAACCAAAGGCAAAGGAGAAGAAATGCTTTTGAGAATTTTTTTTGGTATTTCTTTAATAAAGCCTGCATCTAATAATGCATGAATGATAGTCAAGAGCTTGCTAAGTATAGTCTTACAAAACAGTGTAGCTCTGTTAGCCTTTGTGTATGTATATAGGAGGTTAGGTACAGTTGAAAATCAAAGTTGAAAATAACAGGACAAAAGCAGGTTTTTTAAAAGTTCTCTTTTCCTTACGTGAAGTTCATGCAATGATATTAAAATGATGATTTACATATTAATAGAATAGTTCTAGCAGAAGCTTGAATAGTGTCAAACTTGAAAGCCTCAACCTGGCCTGGTCTGTGTGGCTCAGTGGTTGAGTGTTGACCCATGCACCAAGAAGTTGCTGGTTCGATTCCCAGTCAGAGCACATGCTCAGGTTGTGGCCAAATCCCCAGTGGGGGGCATGCAGGAGGCAGCCAGTCCATGTTCTCTCTCATCAATGTTTCTTTCTCTCTCTCTCTCTCTCTCTCTCTCAAATGAAGGAAAAAAAAAAAACCTCAACTTGTTCCAGCCTTAGGGGCTTCAGAGAGGAATACCATATGTATTTTGATAGCAGTTTCAGGTGTTGGAAGGTGATCCTGATAATTGTTTTTTCAGTTGATTGGATCAGTCAGGATGCTTGGATTCAGCTTGATCTGATCATCTTTTCACCCAGTATGGGAATGTTCTAGTACAAATCAGAAGTTGGAATGATCCATAAATAATGTGGCAAAAGTTTTCAACTTAAACTAGAAATTTTGGTTAGTGTTACCAGTTCAGTGATTTAATGAAGTTTTAATTTAAGTCATAGTGGCCAGTCTTGTTACCCTTTTGTAGATGCATTGTCAAAATTGTGATAGAAATGCGTACTTTGTTGTTATTGTATATGATGATTTATACAGTATTATTATTTCAAATTTAAAAATACAAGTGGGAAATATTAGTGTAAAAGTATAACACTTCAATGACATGTTAAGAGAGTGAAGACATTTAACATAACTTTCTTTGTCTTTATTTTAAAGGATTCAGAAGGAACTTGCAGAAATTACGTTGGATCCTCCTCCCAACTGTAGGTAAGTACTTGTGTGTTTTAATTCTCATCTTTTGCAGAAGTTATAATTGAACTGTTGGTTTGATGTGCAACTATTGTAGTCTTATTATTAGTAAAAACATTGGTTTTGGATTTAAATGACTGTGTATGACAGAGGTGGTGGAGATTTCTGTGGATAAATGGAACATTGAGCAAGTATGTTTGTAGTGGTAGAATGGAGTTACCAAAAATAGAGTAATGCAGTAACAATGATATAATGCAATTATAGGGTAGCAAATACAATTATCTTTTAATAGAAGAGGTATTTGGGTCTTAAATGATTTATTTAATGATAGAATAATAGTGTAACTAAAATATTTGCTGTTTGATAATTATTCAATTGTTATCTTGTTGGAAATTGATTTTTTAAAATGTCAAACATTAAACTGTTCTTCCTGGTTTACATTATTTCTTATAGTCATAGGTTGTGACTAAGTAAGAATGGGTGATTTGAGGCAATGGTGCTAAATTTAAAACACTTTCTCCTTTCTGACCACATGTCATCAATTTTCTCGTGAAGAGTTTACTTATAGGAAGTACAAGTACTTGCCTGGAAATGATTAATGATATACAGGTACACAGAGGAAGAGGAGAAAAATAACCTCCAGCTTTATACTATATCTTCAGTCTGGTGCAGTGGTTGGAAGATGGCTGTTAGGCTCTTTTAAGACATTTTGTTCTGTTTGATCTGAGGTCAGTGTTGGAACCAGGCCAATATGGAGTTTTTATAGTTTAAATTGGTATTCTTGTGGATCGAAGGTGAGAGTGTAGATTACAGGAAAATGTTTCCAATATTGAATGCAGGTAGAATGTATTGTTTGGTCTGATTTCTGATTTTACTGATCTTATTTTTATGTGAAAGTAAAGGTAACAACTACAGGTAATAATGAAAGTGAAAATTTTACAGATGGCTATATTTGATAGTTGACTAGTTGACAACTGTTTTGTGTAGGAAAAATTCTAATAAGGTTTATTATGTTAATGATGTCTAATATGATTCTTTAAATGAGAGTCATGTAGTATATAAACTTGCAATAATGTGCAAAAAATGTTTCACTCAAATAGAACACATTTCTTAAGACTTTCTGTCACATTTAAGACTGTTTCAGATTGACAGATCATTATTTAGGCTTTGGTGGCCAGTTCATGTAAATGGGTTGATTTGCAGAACTCTAGTTTGAATTAAATCTAAAATCCCGTTTCTTAGGATAGTCATTGCTTTCATTGTTTGAATCTTTGTTTTTTAAGTAAGCTGTTTTACCACATACATTACTTTTGATATCTTTTTACAAATGAGATGTTTTATTAGTAATTTATATACTTGCTTAAATTTTTATAATTATTGGTAAAATAAACTAATTACTTGGTTTTAATTAGCTTAAGGCTTATTTTTGATAAATGAAATCCACATAAAATATCTTGTGATAGTTAGATTGCAACTTTGCTATCAGATATATTATTTTCTAATACATTACTCTAATTTAGCCTTGACTTATTACAGATAATAATTTAACTTTGATTAAACCAACATATTGTAAACACACCTAAAAACTTGTCTGAGGAAAGAAATTACATAATGTTTATTATTTATTTATTTTTAATTTACTTTTTCAAATTAATTTTTGTTACAGATGTTTCTCCTTTTTCCCCCATTGACACCCTCCTAATCCTGACCCCCCCGCCCAGCATTGTTATCTATGTCCATGGTTATGCATACATGCATATAAGTTCTGTGGTTTATCTCTTCCCTTCCCCCATAATGTTTACTATTTAAATAAAATAATGAAACCGTGGTTCTCTTTAAAGTGAAAAAGAAAAGTTTATAGTGTCATCTGAAATTTGGAGCTTTACTTTTTCAATAAGCCTTTTAAGTTAATGATATCATTCCTGGTTACATAAGCTTTTTATAAATAAAGCATTTTTAAATGTGATGTCACACATAATAAGCTCTTCAGACAGTTTCAGGAAAGAAACCTATTTTGTTGTATTTTCCTCCCTTCCAGTTTTATTGAGATATAATTGACATATAGCATTGTAGAAAGCTATAGGCATGTCTTGAAGATATTACAGGTTTGGTTCTAGACCATTGTAATAAAAGGGAGTGTTGCAATAAAGCAAGTCGTAATCTTTTTGCTAGTTAAAAGTCTTGCCTTCAGTTTGTAAAAAAAAAAAAAAAAAATCTGCGAAATCCAGTAAAATGAAGCACTACAAGATTAGGTATGCCTGTACCTACTTTGATTAATTTGTTTGCTTATGGGAATTTGCAAGGAAATCCATTTAATGGTATGAAGATTGGATAGCCAATAAGTTTGCTTTTAGAAGTGAGGCTGAAGTCTATGGTGCAGTGGCTTTGGCTCCTTTTATTGATCCAAAATAGTTGATTGGACTGGATCAGGCAGAGATAAAGATCCTGTCCACCATCTTCATGTATGTGATTCTCCTCTTTGGCCAGTAAAGGATCCTCTTTGCTGCTGCTGATGGGTAAGTGGTGATTAGGTCTACTGTCTCTATGTGCTTGTGCTACTTAATATAGATGTGTTCAGTGTGTTTGTTAAGTGGGTTACTGTAGTTTTTGGATTGTTTGGTGTCAAATATTTGATTATGGTTTATAGTAAATCTACCTATCTATATTTCATTGAAAAGATGGTTACTCTCCTCAGAAAGAGAAATTAGAGCATAATTTTAGTTTGGCTTATTTTGGCATAAAGTTTAACAGTGCTTTTGTAGTTGATTTTTTTAAAAGTTCTGTGCTGACTGCACATCTGTCCTAATGGCTATAATGAATTAATTTCTAGAAATCGAGTAAATTAAAGCTATCTGCCTAATAGGAGTCAAACTCCCATTTCCCTAGTACTCCCTTTGTGTATTACCTTTCCCAGTAACACATACCTCTCAAAACCTTTTGGTTGCTTGGCTAGTGACGAGCTTGCTGTCACAGATAGAGATTTTGTATGAGGAAACATATGTGGGTTTACCTGTTGAGGCAATTGGAATGAAGAAGGATTTTTATCGATTATCTCGGTGGAAGTGGGGGGGGGTGTCACATTCCACTTAGAGTGTGGTTAATTATTATTTTCTGGAACCTTAACAGACGAGTACAGCCCAGCTCTTTGTGTATGTCAGGTTAGAGATGGGACTTCTACATTTTGGTGCATCTCTTACATGATGTCCAGTTAAGCAATTCTTGGAATCATGTTGAAGGAACTAACCAGCATGTGTTTAAGTATTCTGCAAGTCTGTTTTTGAACTTCTTTTACATATAAAATCTTCCTGAATCACATCACTCAATTTGTATACGGCATTTTTAGAGTACTGTAGTATTGTTTAATTCTTTTTCAGGTTTTGAATTAATCTAAATATTATTTTAAAAGAGTATCCAAAAAATACCGTGATAGAAGGTTGAATTATTTCTTTTTATAGGAAACACATGCTTGTACATCTTTCAGTTTTCTTTTCACTTTTCCATTGTCCTTGAGGTAAAAATGCAATAATATAGTTTCTTTTTTTTAAAGCTCGGTTAAATTGCGAGTTTTAAAAAAATTACAATATTAAAAGTTAATGTTTAAAAATCACACTTTATGATACACCTAAGAAAAAGTTTATGTTCATTTGTAGAGCCATAAGCATAGAAAATTATACATAATTTGGGTGAAATTTAGTTATATATTACTTGTTTGGAGTTTGATTTTTGAAGTATTTGAGTAAGTAAAAGGAGGAAATAAAAAAAAGGATATACTTCAGTTATACTAGCAGTTTTCACTTTTTATTGCTATGTTTCAGTGATCTACATTCATTGAGTACAGGTTCTGCTTTTTAAAATAATTGTGATAGCTTTATTGTGATTCAAAGTGGAAAATTCAGTGGCTTTTAGTATATTCACAGAGTTGTGTAATCATCACAATCAATTTTACAACATATTTATCACCCCAAAAAGATATACCATACCTCTTAGCAGTTGCCACTTCCTCATTTCCTCCCAGCTCTCCCACCCCCAACCCGAGGCAAATTCCTCTACTTTCTGTCTCTATGCAATTGTCTATTCTGGACATTTCATATAAATGGAATCATACGATATGTGGTCTTTTGTGACTGGCTTCTTTCACAAGCATAATGTTTTCAAGGTTCATTTATGTTGGAATGTACACAGTGTTTTATTTTTATTTTTTATCCCTCTAATATTCTATTGTATAGATACACTAATTCCATGAACATTTGTGTACAGGTTTTGTGTGGGCATTAGTTTTCTTCTATAGGAGTAGAATTGCTGGGTCATATAGTAACTTTGTTTAACCTTTTGGGAAAGTACCAGATTAAATCCCAAAGTGGTGGTACCATTTTACCTTCCTACCATCAATGGGGAGAGTTCCATTTTCTCCACAGCCTTGGCAATTGTTATTGTCTGTCTTTTTGATGATAGCCACCCTAGTAGGTGTAAAGCAGTATGTTCATTATGGTTTTGATTTGCGTTAATTACCATGATGGACAATGACAATGACTACCATCTTTTTTCATATTGACCATTTTTATGTCTTCTTTGGAGAAATAGCTGTTCAGATCCTTTGTGCATTTAAAATTGAGTTGTCTTTTTATTATGGAGTTATAATTCTTCTTTATTTTTCATACAAGTCCTGTATCAGATACATGTTTTGAAAATATTTTCTCCTATTCTGAGGATTGTTTTTTCACTTTCTTGGTAGTGATCTTTGAAGCACAAAAATTTTACATTTTGAAGTCCAATTTATCTTTTTTCCCCCCTGATTTTTGCTTATGTGTTTGGTGTCATTTCTAAGAAACCACCACTTAATCCAAGACTGAAGATTTATGTCTATATTTTTCTTGTGAAAGTTGTCTGTTTTAGCTTTTATGTTTGGTCTCTGATCCATTTTTGTATATGGTGTGAGATAGAGGTTCAACTTCATTCATTTCCTTGTGAATGTTGTCTCAGCACCATTTGCTGAAAAGACCATTTTTTTCATTGACTTT